AAAATGTCAGTTTTTAAATTTTAATTGTTAATAATATATCTGTAAGTATTAAATATTGCTTGTTGTTGATAAATGTGTAGATTTGTACTTTGATTTTTATTTTTATGAAAACTTGGATTGTTTATATATATATATATATATATATATACAGGGTGTTCGAATTAAACGTATCTGAGAGGTTGCTGTACTTAACAGAGAGTTTAAAAGCATAAGAAAACTGTAAAATTAGATACCAATACTCACAAAGTTTTTATTAAACAATCAATACAATTCCACGTGAGCTCCCTTAGTAGCTTTGAGAATGTCCAGACCTTAGTCCAGTTCCAGCCATGTCCGGTGTAGCATTTCTGGAGTCACAGTAGTAATAGCAGTGGTTATGGAGACAGGAAGATCTTCAACATCACGGATGTTCCCTGAGTAGACTTTGTCTTTCACGTAGCCTCAAAAGAAGAAATCATGAGTCACTTCAAGAGATCTTGGTGGCCAGGCAATTGGGCCACCGTGTTCTAGCCATCAGTTAGAGAAAGCTGTATCTAAAAATGCGTGAACATGCTTGTCGCAGTGACGAGGGGCCCCATCTTGTTGGAAGATAACAGTGTGTCGTAAATGCTTATTTGGGGTATTGCGTAAATTTGTCCAGGTAAATGTTTGCTGTCACAGACGTCTCAACAAAGAAAAATGGTCTTATGACTGTATCATGTGATTGAGTACACCAGACATTGATTTTTGGTCAGCTCCGTTCCAGTTCATGTAGTGAATGGGGATTTTCTGAGCCTCAAATTCTACAGTTGTGCTTATTAACGTTGTTACTAACATGAAACTCAATTTCATCTGAAAAAAAAGATGTGCTGTTCATTTTGATGCGAGATAACATCTTCACAGCAAATGCTGCACTCTGCAGTTGCAGTTTCTGTATAATGCATTTGGTTGCAGTTTCTGTACAATCTTCATTTTATACGCATCCATCCTCAGTTTTCAATGCAGCATATCATGAATGGTTGAGCATGGCATAGATAATTCAGAAGCTGCCTGCCTGATTGACTGATGAGGGCTCCTAACAAAAGCTCGTCCAACATCTTCCACATGTGAATCAAAATGTGAACGGCGATCACCTCCAGATCTTTTCCATACATGAGAAATGTTTTGTGCCACTTTTTTATTTTCTTAGCCTGAGGTGGATTTCTTTTATAAACTATTTGAAACATTCTTTGCACTTTTACTGCGGATTTGTGTTCTGCATATCAGAGAAAAATTTGTGCCTTCTCTTGCAGTTATGCCATTTTTCCATTTGTCAGCTCAGCAAAAGCGCAAGTGCGTCAGACGCGAGAAAAAAATATTGTCACCAAACTCTACGAATTCAACTCCCAAATGTGGCCAAAATTGCCCTTGTAGCTCTAAAACTTTGTTTTTAATCGACTGTTCAAAATAGGTACATTTGATTCGAACGCCCTGTATATATATATGTAGAAGTGAGATTTCAATAAGCTTCAATGTCCCCCCGACGAAGTGGCATTGAAGTTGATTGAATTTCTCTTCTGTTTTGTTGCTTTTTCTTTAAATTTCGTAAAGTTTTTTAAAATGGTTTTGTTTTAACTATTTTAAATTCTTTTTTGCATTTATTGGATTATTTGAAATTTATTAATTATGAATTTCAGTTTTTGGTCATTGTGAAAAATTAGTTCTAAATTTCTTTATGTCTTTAATGACAATTTTTCAGCAGCTTAATGCACGAAAATACTAGCATGTTTATATTTTGTTTTGTTTTTAAAAGAGTTGTTGTGTAATTATATGTATATTTATATATACATATATATAAACTTCTTGTAATATTTGTTTCTTGTTAAATAAGCTTTACATTGTTCTGAAGAGGACTGTTATAAATTAATTTATTTGATGTTCCATATTCTTTTATTTTCCCCCTTCCCCATCGGGATACAAGATTTCATTTGAATCGTTTGGGATTTGAATTTGCAAAACATGTTTACTTATCCTCCTCCATTACCTTAGCAAAACTGATTTTTTTTTCAAGATTTCATAGAGATACATAGTTTGAAAATTTTAATAATTTTCTGATGATTTGAAAAAAATCTTAAAATTTTTATTGTTAAGTCATTTATTTGATAATTTGCTACCTACAGAATTTTTGTAACTAAACAGTCACAATCCAATTAATTACATCATCCTTTTTTTTGCACGTAAAGAACTTCTTTTAGTGATATGCTAGTTTCATACTATCATGCACATGGATAGATTAAACAGTTAATTGCTAAAGAAGTGTAAACTAATGACGCAGGATGAATCTTGGTTGATCCTGAATAAAGTATATATACACTTTAAATTTTGTTTGCTTGCATACCAAAAATGAACGTGGATTATGAGCATTTGTGGAATAAGAGGTTCTGGATTGTTGGAATTTTAATGTGTATGCAATTTGGCCTTTTTTAGGCAGGTGCATTTCATAGTTTTAATTTATCTCTTTTTCTTTTCCTTTCTTGGATAAAAAATTAATAATCCTTTACTTAAAATGCAAGAAGTTTCATTATTAGATATTTATAATAAATCACATATCTGTTTTACTCATTATATTTTTGTTTTCAGTTTCCCCTTCAGTATAATTTTTGACAAAACTGATAGAAATTTTCATATTTTATTAATTTAAATTATATGTAATCTGTTATAATTTAATAAATCATATCATTAAAAATATAACTTAGACATGTCAAAAATCCGATATTTAGAATTCTATTAAAAATGAGTTTGTGTTTGATAAAAGAGAGTTTTCTGATATTCAGCTTCTTAGCATTTATCAGCTTCTCTGCTTAAAAAATGTTGACTATCAAGTTTAATGAATTGAGAAATGAAGATAAAAAATTATTTTATCATTCAATTAAGTATGTGATGTTGATTCTAATGATTTTCAGAAATATTTTTTTAATGTTATAATTTCTCAATATTTATGGAAAATTTTTGGGCATTTATGTAAATAACCGAATAGATTAAAAATTATTCTATAGATGCTTCTGACTATTAAGTTTTCTGATGTGTACAATTGAATCCAGTTAACCCAAATAAAGGGCATTTAAAAATAACCAGTTAACTCAAACAGCTGCATTTTTAGAGATATTTATGAAGCATTGTAACATTTCTCACTGTGATTTGTGTCATTCACTTGATTCTTATTTCAAAAATATATTATCATCAGATTTTCTTTAAGAAAACAAAATGCTTTGAAAAAACTAGAGAAAAGATACTGAGTGTAAACAAATCTAATGACAAGATAAATGAAGTTTTAGCTCCAAGACTAGATTCACATCTAATGCATAGAACATATCGGTTATTTCCTTCAAAATAAAAAACACCTAAAAGTGAAAAATAGGAGGATGAGATTCTGTTAAAAAAGTTATGTATGCATATATGTATACATACATATGATCTATATATGTATACTCATAGGTTTATTTACTCTTTTGGAAAAGTTTCATTTGTTTTTCATTTCAATTTGTCTTCATTAATTTTTTTCAAAACTTTTATGAAATATATGTGATGAGCTTCTGAAGTACCCTGTTATGTTTAAAATCCAAGAACAAAAGAATTTTCCTATGATACTTACAGTTTTTTCAGTTCCTTAATGTTGATTATTTATTGTGCAGTTATGTTATAGTACCGTTTAAATGAATTTTAGTGAATATATTTGATATTTTGTTTACAATGAATATTTGTTTTAAAAATTTCAAATAAAAGGATTTTGTTGCTTTAATTTATTAAAACTGATTGGCATTAACTTATAATCATGTGAAAATGAAATTGCTAACCAAAAACTTCTGATAGTGTAAAAGCAGTTAAGCAGTGAAAAGTAAAAAGGTTTATTTGAGAGAAGAAAATTACAAATGAAATGATTTTTCAGGGAAAAAGTGAAACTGGAAATGTCTATCATGTATGACCTTGTGTGTATATTTCCCCATTTGTTTTTGGCATTATATGTGTGTGTTTGTGAGTGCAATCCCAGGTACTTAGCGTACGTACACTTACATGTTTCATTACTTCCTATGTACTATTTCACTTTGGATTTCAAGGAGGATGGTTTGCATTCTTAAGTTTTTCTAACATATTGTATTTGTTTCCTATTTGATTTCTTGGTTAGTGCCTGTCAGTTTTAATAGGTATATTCTTGAACATTATAATTTTAAAATTCATTATGCACTTGTTTAAAAGACGAATATTTATCATTATAATAATTCATAATAGGAGGGATTTTCTCTCCAATTACGAATTATTTCTTGCATGGCAGTTTTACAAATGCAACTTCGGTTAAGAATGATTTTATTTTGGAAATATCATGCTATCAAGCATATAAAACAAGAAATTAAAGTTAGAATTGAATATACATTATTAAAATTGCATTTATTTTGGAGTTGCATTTATCAGAAATTTATTTAGCCATGAGCATAGTATAGAATCTGTTAAAACATAAAGTAAAATGATTGATAAATTTTGGTGCTTCTTTAGGAAATAACGCTATGCGCCACAGCTTTAGGGTATCAAAATATCCATTTTTATATGCTATATATTTCTTGACAAGTTGTTTATATATCTAATATTTTATGTTCATGATTAAGAAAAAAACTATTTCTTCTTGGGTTATTTTCAGTTTTTTTTACTCTCTTGAAAGCAAGAGAATTGTGAATAATATTCTGTGAGTTAATTTGATTGCTGTTATTGTGTTGAATTCATTTTCTGTAAGAATATTACTAATAAATGCTTACATGAATTTTAAATGCAGCTGAAGGAAATGAATTTATATTTTTCATTATTAAAAATTGTTCTTTTACATTAATTTTATTTGTAAATTAATTTTATATTTTATGAAAATATCATTTATCATGTTACAAGTGTTATGCTCATTGTATCTGCAACTCAAAGTACAAAAATTTGTATTATTTTTTTTATAAAGTTAAGATATGTATAAGAATTTGTTTTTTAATAATATGTTTTTCTTCTAGCGAGAAGAAAATCTTCTAAAACAGTACGTGGGTGGTATCATGGAAGACATAACGCATGCTACTTACCCTCAGTATCGTTCAGTTTGCTCGCCTAATCCAAGTAGCCTCTTCTTGTTTGTTTGTTCCATAGCGAGGTAAATTTTTCCAACTCTTATTATGCATGAAGATATGAAAGTTATTACCTGCAAAGTTTTTCTAAAACTTTTTGCTAGTGTTCAGATTTCGATTATATATTTTTCTGGTGTTATATTTATTAACCTGAAGTATCATTGCTATAATTTTTTTAAAAGTGTGAAAAACTTTTATGAATTAGAATGATCTGTGGACCATTTTATTCTTATTCCCTTTGGAAGAAATTTTTTTAGTGTGTATTAATAATACTTATATTTTTAAAGTACAGTTAAATAAATTTAATTTGATATTTTTATCAAGCAATTAAATTAATAGAAGAAAATTTGTATTTGAATAATGCAAGGGTTTTAGAGTTTGGATAATCTATCTTATAAACTAAAAATTTAATGGTACTGATGTTGATGAGCTGATGAGCATATTATTTTGCTAATTCCTGTTAATAAAGTTGTGGTTTAACAGCTGAATGTTCAAAATCGTGTGTGAAATTGAAAGTCATAAATTATACTTCTGATATTGTGATATTTAGAGCGGTACGTGGGGTTCGCATTAAAATTAAAACTTTTTATTTATCTGTATTGAAGAAATATTTTATGCCGTTTATTTTTATCGTAATAAATATGTTTAAAAGTAGTTAATACGTCATATATGTAAATTTTTAATTTTTTTCATTTTTGATGAAGGAATAGTTATATTTTGTGTTGTTTATTTTTATATTAACAAATGTTTTTTAAGTTATGAATAATTAATATATAATAAAACTCTATATCTGTATTTTTGTCTTCTGTTCTCTAACTCTGCATGCATTGCAAAACTCTATATCTGTATTCTTGTCCTCTGTTCTCTAACTCTGCATGCATTGCCACAGGAATCGAATTGTTTCAAATATTTCCTACTGCGTGACATCCTGAATCATACTGGAAGATTAGTTTGGCACATCACAGCTACAGGTTGCCGACCCCTGATTTATATTATAGTGGAACTATAAAGCAGACCAAATATTCTAAAAAGTACTGTACATGATCATTAGAAGAAGATTAGGTATGCAAGCTGCTAAGATGTGTGAATATTGCATATTTTAACCTTCTGAGCATTATGACTTTGCCTGTGAAACCCTAAAATTAACCAAAATGCTATGAATTAGTGGTATTTTATTATTATTATTCCAAAATGACCATTTTACTCTACACCTTGCTTTTTTCTCTGGATATACATTCAACCCAAAATCGGATCCGTCATTAGCTGGCAGAAATTTTTATGTGTAACAAAGTTGGAAAGTCGTCTTTTTTCATGGAATTTTACATCCATAACCCTTGGAGGGTTAACAGTGCACAGTATGCTTGCTTGGGTTTCAGCATATGGTTCTTTGCTAAAAAAATGGGGGGGGGGAGGAAACTCTCTCTCTCTTTTTTTTTTAAGACAACTCATAACTAGATGAGAAGTGGATATTGTACAATAATGCTACAAGAACAAATTATGGGATAAGCCAAAAGAACCTCCTTTTCTAACTTCAAGAGGAGGATGCATCTTAGAAAAGTAATGCTTTTTGTATGTTGGGATTTCAGAGGAGTGGTTGCCACGAAATCATGCAATAAATTCAGAAAATATGGCAGTTTAAAAGCCAAAATTAAAGCAAAGGGTGCAGAACTGACCAGAAGTCAGAATGTTGTCTTCATCATGATAATGCTCAGCTCAGCATTTCAATGTGCCTCAGACAAAGACATCCCAGTCAGTGAGTATGACTGGGATGTCTTGTGTTACTCCACCATATTAACCAGACCTTGTCCTCTTGATTTTTCATCTCTTCAGAATTTTCTAAATGGCGTCGAGTTCCCCCCTTCATAGATTGTCAAACATTACCTTGATAATTTCTTAACAAATAACATTAACGCCTTTTTTTAAAAAAAGGAATTTTCTAACTGTTGAAGAGATGGCAAAATGCCTTAGAACAAAATATGTGCTTATTTAATGCTAAGAAATTTTCTTATACTTTTGCATCGCTTTATTTATAATTATTGTCAAAAAACTGCAGAAGGCTTTGGATATTTCATAAAATTTCACTCTTGGGAGAAAAGTGATAGATGATTGCCATTTTTAATTTCCAAATTATGAGATTTTCAGCCGTAGTGAAGTATATGCAGCTAATTTGAATTTTTGGACTGAAAGGGGTTGTTAGTTTTGAAATGGGATTTTGCATCAGTTTACAAGGAATGGCATATCACTTTTCAGATTCTTGCCACCAAATATTATCACCCTGTATTATTTTTAAAGAAATTAACTAATGAATAATCTGCATGTAAATATGTGAGATATAACAAAATATGATAGCTGCTTAAAACAAATAATTGGCAACTTCAAAATTAACATTCTAGATTTATTGATCTCCCCTTAAATTCATCTGTTCTCCCAAATTCCAGATTTTTCTATGTTACATAAAATTTTAATGCAGATACCTCTTGTTCAATCAAATGAATTGTAAGCCAAAACTTTCTTTAACAGACCTGAAAATTTTCCAACTCCCTCTCTTCTTCCTCTGAAGTACTACAATGTTTTTCCCTTTTTCGCATAAACTCTCCTGCTGGCAAGATGCTTCTCATCCATGCTGCTGCTGCTTACTTGCTTAAGATGATGTCGTACTTCAAAATGGAACTTGTATTCAAATATAATTAAGAAATATCTTGTCTTCAAAAGGATGATTTGATATAAGTAAAAAAATAAAAATTGTGATTCTTCAAGCTCAGTTGTGCTAAATGTGTGATCATGCTTTTCCACTCAGTCCTACCTTCAGCCACCAAGTCTTCTCAGCCATCTATGCAACATTGTTTGTTTCCCACATTGCCCCCCCTCCCCCCAAAAAAGTACCTAAAGCCATCCAATTTTGAATTATGTAATTATCCACTCAAACATGGACACTTGGAAGTTTTGTGGGAGAGAAAGATGGTAGGAGACCTTTTGATCCATTTCCCTGAGATAGTTTCCATCGAAACTAAGGCAAAGTTAGGCAAACTTGTATTGTCCACCTGTATGTCCCAAAGTCTTTGCTAAACACATCATAACTTTTTTTCTCTTTGCCCCGATGAATTTATGGACTTGATCTAGTTTAGATCAAGAGGGTTAATTGCAATAATATTAATTAATTATGTTTTTCTTAATTAAATTTTAACAGTGTAATTTAAAGTATTAAATATTTGGCAGATACTATTAAATCTTAGATGATAAAATTTAAAATAGTAAAGAACCCTAAGATAAAAAAGAACTGCTAGCATCTGCTTGACATTTGTTTGAAATAATAAGTCCTTGATATTGCCAAATCCCATTCTCTCTCTCTTCTTGATGAACAGACTGTAGAAATTCAGGTATTTACATATTTAGATAACTATACCATTTTCTTTTCTCATGATGACTTCTAAAATAAATGAAACTGAAAGTGTTATGAATGAATATTTTGTGCCAGGACAGAAAAAATTTTTCAGGAAGAGTATTAAAAAACTATCATTTCCCTCCTTATTTTAAATGAATCTTGCATTATTTTCTAATAAATTGTGTATTTTTATGAAGGTAATAAAATAATGTTTTTATTATTTATCTATTTTCCTGTAGAACAAACCTAGAAGTTGAACTGGTTCAAAGAGGTGGGACGCTGAATAATCCACTGAAAAAGAAATCATGTTTTTGTAAGAAGTTTTCTCTAAATTACTTCTTTGAATAAATACATGAACACATTTTGTACATATGTAAATAATTTTAGTGAAATTATATGTGAAAGTGTAGTTTTCCCCTCTCTTGTTGTTGTTGAAAATCTAAAGAAGCAAAGCTCTGCTGTGAAAATACAAATACAGGGGAAAGTCTGTTTAACATTGAGTAAATGGCCATCTTGCTAAATTGGTGAGACATCGCCAGGCTGGTGACGGATTTGGCAACTAATTTCTATCTCGAGATTTGGCGAGAACTCGCCAAAAGTCGCTTTATTTAGTGACATTTTGGTCCAGTCCCTGTCTAACTGTAATAAGTATTGTAACCGGATAACTGAAGTTGATCCTATATTAAACTGTAACAGTATCCAGTTCTCAAATGCCTTCCAGTAATTTCTGGTAAAGTGCAGAATCGCCCACTTATTTGTTTGGCGTTTTTTTGGCGCTTTTTACAAGAGTAAGAAGAATTGGATTTTTGTCAATTTTCTTTGACTTTTTAAGTAAAAATAGGTCGATGTGTACATGGATAAAGTCAAGGAAGTGCAAAATGCCATTTTTGTGCAATTCTGGGAAGTTTTTTTTAAGTGAAAGTAGGTCGATGTTGTGTACATGAATACCGAGTATGTGCAATTCTTAAAAGCATGCTAAGCAGTGGGTGATTCTGCACTTTTCCTGTAATTTCAAGAAGTGGAAGGTACTAAAGATTACTTGACAGCCGTGAAAAACAATAGAAGATCTTGAAGAGCATCAGTTTCAGAGTAGTAGCTGTTTAGAGTGAGTTTGGAGTATTGAGATATCTCCATGTGAGATTAACTCTTTAGATGGGCTTTGTATTGCATTGTCTTTAACATTTTTTATAGTTTGAAGTGTAATTACTGATTGTACTCTGTGATACTGTGAAGAGCTGTACGAGTATTTTTGTGGAACATTGCAGAACTGTGAAGTATTCCTTTTAGTAAAATAAATTATATCAAGTTATCATCAATTCTGTGTGCATTCAATCTATAGCAAACCTGTATGCATGCAACACATGAAAATATTGCAAAATAAATTTTTACATGGTGTACTTTACATGGGATCTCTAATTTACAAAAGCATATGGAACAAATTTATGTAAAATCTTAATTTTGTTTGATTTTCGTATTCTATTTTTGTTTTATTTGGTAAGAGGGTGCTTTAAAAAAAAACTGAAAGCTTTATCAGTAATATTAATTCATAAATGTTTTTAATGTTACTTCCCTACTAATTTCTGATTTATTTATTTATTTTTAAAGTTATGTGCCTAATTTTAACTCTAAACTTAATGTATATCGTTAAAATTTTTGTTTGATTTTAAATATATATATGTATAAATAATATTTATTTCAAAAGTTTACTTGTAAATGACACCAGTGCATTCTAGTATAAAATGATTTATTGTTTGCGCTACATATAGGACTTATTCTCTGCTGAGAATATATATATTCTCTGCTGAGAAGTTGTTCCTTTTAGGGATCTTTGAATTACATAAGAGCAACATGGTTAGATTTTCACAAGTGACTTTACCATTATAATTTGTATTCTTATAAATATTTTTTTATTTGCTCAGTGTGGATAATCATGATTCAAAACAAATTTTGAACACTAAGAGAACTTAAAGAATATTGGGACAGTGACCTTGATTTGGCAGATGAACGGGGTGTTCACAAGAGCAGATTCGACCGGTAGCAAAAACCGATTCTTCCAACCTGTCCCGTTCACATAGGACAAGCATTAACTGCATCGCCGAATTGGAGGTAGAACTTGGTTGAATGTTCCTTACCTCTCAGGAGCATGGCAAATGGGAAGATTTCCCGTACTATACTGCACGGTTCACTTAATTTTAGTTACTGCTCGCTGGACTGCCAGCGAAACAATCGCGCTGATAGATGTCTGGGGTTGTGATAGCATCCCCACCCCAAAATTAGATAGAACTGTACAAGATATGGAAATTTAAAACAAATACAGACAAGGTTATCTGATGCTAGGTATTCCAAAAATATCATTCAAATTAAAACTAAAGGTAAGACAAGTGCATATCGGCTTCAACGTGACAAGGGACTTGGTATCTTTTGAATGATTATTAAAAAAAAAAAAAAAAGCATTTTCATCTACTTTTTATGAATATTATTAAATGGTTTTGTGAGACAAAATAATTTTAAGCTGAAAAAAGTTTTTGCTAGTAATTTTTTTTAATTAAAATTTTTGAAGAAAAATTCTACAATTAAAATGTCTTTCTTCTCCTAATGTCTCCCTCCAGTTTTTTTATTGTATTTATTAGAGTGTTCTTAATAACTTCAAGGAATGATTTTGCAATTAATGAATTAGTTTCTGAGAAAAAAATAAAAATACAATTTTGTCTAAAATCTTTAAAACAATATTATCTCAGTCACATTTTTATTTCAAATAATTTTTCCTTTCTGTATTTTGCAAAACCCATCCTTATTTCTATAAAGTATATAATTTTAAATAAGCAGTAAAAATAATAAAAAATTTAATCCATACCTGTATATGTTTTAGGACTTTAAGTAAAAGGATTTATTGAAAAAAATGCAAAAGGTTTCTCAGTTTGCATTTGCAGTTTAAAGAATACAAACTGTCTAAATAGACATTTAATCATTTCAAATCTTTAAAATTTTATTACTGAATTTCAATACACACATGGATATATAAATCAAACCTAGTGCTATTTATTCAATTGGTAAATATAAACATAAATTACAAAACTTTTTTTAAAAACCTTATGTGGCCAGAAAAATTGCAAAACTCATAAAACGCAAGCAGAATTTTTCTTTACCTGTTTTTGTTTTGTAAAACACGTTCAAAACAATTTTAATACATTAATTAATTATAATATTGTTACGTGCGTACCGGTTTGTAATAGATTGATAATAGTTCGTAAATGATTGTCATTGCACTCAAATCTGATGATAGCTTAATTAAATTTATTTTATCAACAGAAACACTTCAAAGTTCTGGAATTTTCCACAGAAATACTCGTACAAGTGTTTAGAATATCACTAAGTATAATCAGTAGTTATGCTTCAATCTAATAAGAACGTTAAACACAATGGAATGCAGAACGCATCTTAAGAGAAAGTTAACTCAGAAATATCTCCAATCTCACGCTGAACTAAAAACTGGCAACAATAACAACTTATATAGTATAAATAATGTCATAAAAATAGTGTGGTATAATGAGATTATTACTATGAAACCAATGTTTCGAATTGATGCCCAAGAAGAACCAATATTTCCCATTCTGCTTCATTGCATATCTTTCAAAAAAGTAAAAAAAGTCATCCAATTAATATCCTTCATCATTTTTTTTAAATGCAAAAAGTTTGTTTTATAAGCTATTTTTAGATATACAATTTTAAAATTAATGGATGTCAAAAAGTCTAAAAATATGAACGATTTTCAAAAATTCTCCCAAAATATTTTTAAAAAATATTACGCTAAAAATATCGTTTAATTTTGTTTTCCTCCACAATGTGTTATGGTGCAAATTATAATATTCTGAGATTCTCAGTTTATTTGTTAATATTTGCAAAAAATTGTTTCAACTTTAAATTTGAAAAAAATCTAATCCTCTAAAAATCAAAAGCGTGACACTACATCCACAAGCAGTGTATGTACAGAGTTTGAGTTCTGTTTCTTACCGGGAAGCAGTTTAAAAATCCATGACCATCTTTTAACTATAGCGACAAGCACGAAGAGTGAACTAAATAACAGCTTATAAAATAATAATAATAATAATAATTTAAAAGCATATATTTTTCAGGAACCATTACGAAAGTTCAGGTACTAGTTGCGAAAGTACAGATTACAAAATTAACAACAGTAAACAACGTTAAAAATGTGTAAACAGTATTAGAAATCTGCCAGTTCGGAGACGTGATTGTTCACAGAGGCTTAGGTGTAAATAAAGGGAAGGAAGGTGGTGGTCTTCTGAACGGATCCTAAAGACGAAGCTCTTTCATGTCTCTTTTTTCTCCTCTTGCTAATGGCAGCTGTGCGAAGGAGCGTTGCATGTGAACGGAGCTATAGAAGACCTTGACTTGCTATTGACATAGTTGAATTACCACCGGACACAGCTGATGATGTTTCCTATTCAGAAGATATAGATGAAACATACTGGGAAATATTATTCCATACGATGTCCCAGGTTTATTTGAAATTCACGGAGGGAGGTGCAACGAAGAAGTTGCAGTCCAAAAGAAAAAGAGAAACCCATATCAAAGTGGAATAGAAAGTGTATACCATTAACATGCATAATCTTGGAGAAGGAGAATGCAACCAGCATAAAATAAACATGACAGAAAGAGCAATAGTTAAAACATCAGTAGAAATGTTTAGAATGTTGTTCTTCACAGATGATCTAGTAAAGCATATTGTGCAGCTGAGTGCATCTTATGCAGCTCAAAATAATTGCCGCCAGTTTACGCTCTCTGGAGACTCTTTCAAAAACTTTTTGGGATTTTTAGAGCAGATGTATTAATCAGAAGAAGACATAAATATTGAAATTGTACCAAAATGTATGACAAGAAATCATTATATTGAAATAAAGAGAAACCTGTACTTGTGACGAATGTGCCAATAATAAATGAGAACAAAGATTATTCAAAATACTACCAAATTTTAAGTGAGCTGAATAAAACATTTACACAATTTGGAGTATTTTCATATATTTTGAGTGTTGATGAATAAATGATGCATTATTGCAGTCATCATTTTCTTAAACAATTTATTAGGGACAAGCCCATTCAGAATGGGCATACAGCAATGGGCAGTGTGTTGTAGAGTGGCTGGATATTGCTGCAATGCTAAAATACGTGAAGGTCAGCTAAGCAGTAGTTCAGGAAAAGATGCATATGGGTTAAATATTTTGGTAATATTGAATAAGTTAGCAACCATAGACAAACCAGAGGACACTGCTTTTATTTTGATAGTTTTTTTATAAGCTTTGATTTGATAATATGATTATTTGATAATGAAAAATTTAAAAGAGAGAAGTATACCTGCGACAGGAACTGTGAGATACAACAGGAAGAATAAATGCCCTATAAAAATAGATAAGAAAATGAATAAGGAATTTCGTGGGGTTTTTGATTATACATATGGTGAAATAAAAGGACTATTTGTCCTTATTTGGAAAAATAACAACATTAGGATGATATCAAATCATTTGGAAGTTTTACCTTTGGGACGTATGCAAAGATAGTCTAGAACTGAAGAAAAAACGAGTGACGGTTCTGCAGCCATTGCAAATTAATAACATGGGTGGTGTTTACAAGCTTGATTGTGATATACAAAAGTGTAGATTAAAAATTAAAGGCAAGACATGTTACTTTCCTGTTTTTACTAATGCAGTGGATATGACCCTAGTTAATGCTCATGCAATACATTACATTGCTAATGGGGGGAAAAAATCCTTTATTAAGTTTCAGAAAAGTGATCTCGAGGTTTTAGTTGAATTTAAACTTTTTATCTGATCCGATAAAGCGTGAAAGACCATTCTGTAGTGAGAGTCCATAGAAATACCTATGAGATGTGAGAAAAAATTCTAATGAACATCATCTAGGAAGACCATTAGATGGAAAACAGAGGAAATGTGCAGTTTGGAAACAATGTATAAAGTGTCATGTTGGATTACACATAGAATGTATTACTGCATGACACTCATAAGGAAATTTCTCCTGTACAATTATATACAGTGTAATGTGCTGCAATCCCTAAATAGGGGTTAATTTCTAAATCAATAAAAATCAATTATTTATTTTCATTAACGTAAAATTTAGTGCGTTGTGTTTGTTTACCTGCAAAAGAGAAGCTATATTTTAGGGGGGAAGGAAATGTTTAATAAAAACTCTGTCAGTTAGTGGGTTAATGATTGAATTGTTAATTAAAATTGCACATGATTATTTTCTTTGGTATTGTTTAAATTTCGTTATTACTCTTTAAATGAAGTAAAAGAAGTACTGAAAGGTTGGAGGACTTCAGACTATTATAGCGGACAAATTTATTTGCTTTATGGAATAACAGAAATACAGTATTTTACATGAAAAATCAAATTTAATGAAATGTATTTGATTCATTTCATTGTATCTTGATTATATGTTTGTAATATAGAGAAGAAATCAAATGAATGATTTAAACATGGGTTTTAATGTACATAAAGTTCAATTAACTGTTGAATGCTTCTTTCAAAGTACTATACAAGTTTTATTATCTATATAAAAATTATCTTTTAATTCATTATCTGGAAAGCTTCAAATTGTTTTAAGATGTAATGTGTTAGCTTTGAAAATAATTTTTATGTATTGGACGTATTAATGATCATCTGATAAGTAATACTGAATATTTTCCTTTGGATTAAAAAATATGGTAAATGTTTTTATTGTGTTTTAATTGTATTTAATTAATAATAGCATTTTTCTCTTTGGAAAAGGAATACAGATTTATATGCAGTTTGTTAGTATTCTGAGCTACTTTATTAGATCTTGATTATTATTATTATTATTTTGTAAATTATAATAAATGAATATAAAAAGCTGCTATTGTCTGATTTGTAATAAGTAATGACTGATAAGAAAATCATGAATGACTGGTATTTTAAATCTTAGTGCTTCATTTGCTATATTTTTAATGCATTTTCTTCTTTTTCAGTGCCATTACTTCATGTGTTATCAATGCACTCACGTTTATTAACTGCTCAATCGGTCCCTAATGTAGTATGGCCAAGATTGACTGGTCAAATGCCTTCAGATCATTATTCGTAAGGGGAATATAATTCTTCAAGGGCTGATATTATATATATATGTTCTGCAATATACTAACATTCATTTCTATTTTTAGTGTTGCAGTGTGGGATGCTGAAGTTCCTCTTCTGCTTAGAGATTGTACAGCATTACTATTACAAATGATTTTGACAATACCATTAAATTTGGAGAAAGGTGAATATAATTTTTAAAATTATATATTTATTGAGATTTTATTGCTTTTTGATTGCTTTGTATAATGATTTATCAGCATAGCAATACTCCCCCCCCCTAGCAGGAAGTACAGCCATGCTCAGATGTACTTAGATTATATATTAATTGTTTGCCTGAAAACAGTTATTTCTAAGTATGCAAATTATTTTTATTCTGGTTATCTGTTTAACGCTCAAATGTATGGGAACATTTAAATGCCTGCTAGCTTTGGAGGCATTTAAAGACTTTTGGGAGTTTTTAGGGGTCTTCCTCTTCTTTATGGTGACCTATTGGATATTGCTTATACATAAAGTAATTAATTAAAATTTAATATATACTACTTTCTTGATATTTTTTCAAAGATAGATTTAATCTTGTGTTTACAAGTAAGTAAATTAATAAAAAAATTGGAAATATTTTATATTTTAACATCATTCAGAAAGACTTGTTTTTCCAGTAATGTTCACTCTTCTTTTAACAATGAATGCTTGAATTATTCATTTTCTATTTTTTTTCATATATGTATATATACATATATATATATATTACATTACTCCAGTTTTTGTCTATTGTTGTTGGGTAACATTCTTTGTAGTTTTTCATACAGGAAAAGCTTTTCTTAATAGATTCAATGAAAATTGAAGTTTGAGTCTAATAATCCTTTCAGGAAAGGGGCAAGGGCATGTTCAGTACCTTGAAAGGACTTTTTTGCTTGCTAACAAATTTTAAAAAAATCTTTATTAAAAACTAAAAGAAAAAAAAAAACACAAAGAATAATATTAATAAAAGAATTTGATCTCCCTTTCCCACAGGAGCAGATGCAAACATTATCAAAATCAACAATCTTTCTTATTCCAGTTATAGATTCATTTTCTTTGATAATGAAAATTTTGAATTGATATTAAATTATGGCTAAATATAAGCTGATAAAGCAATAATTTAAAAAAAATCTTAATCAGAAATGAAACTGCTGCTAAGTGGCAGCTAACAAAAAACAGTATAATTAAAATTAATAAGGAAATGGTAAATCTGCAGACCAAGTTTCAAAACTTCCAAGAAAAAGTGTGTGGCAGTAAAAATATATATAAGGATCAAATCCAGTGCAAATGTGTAAAGGACAAATAATTACATTGCAATGGAAGCAAAAATATAGTATATAAATTGTGAGACACTTTGTACACTCTAACTCACAAAAAATACATGTCCCCCCCCTAAAAAATGATTCTATGTTTTATTAATAATAAGGTAGTAAATACATTTTCAGTTCTTTCTTACATTATTAGTATCTATATTTATTTGCATTTTTTTGCAGTAGCAGTATGTGCACTAAAAGTGAATTTTTTGTTTTTATTTTTATTTTCATTTTTTCTGAATTATATATATAGATAGCACTTTATGATATGTTCCATGATATGTTTTATGCATGTTTTTATAATTGTTCCTGTTTTCATATTCATTTTTAATTTGCATTAAATTTTTTAAAATTATATCTCTATGTTAATATGCATAATATGGTTAGGCATACTGAGTTCATAGAAGTTTTATTTTTTGATTCAATTAATTTTATTGAGTTATTCTTAAATTTATTTTAGTTCTGTAGTGTATTTCAGCATTCTACTTTCCTCCCCTCCCCAGCTATTGCTCGAAGAGCATTCTGCACACTTCAAAATTTGTTTTAACTCGGAAAAAGAGGTCACAACCTCTGTTGCTTTTTCTGATATTAGATTGTTTTAACTTTTTGAAATTTTGTATTTTTGCCTAGTATTTTTTGAAAAAATTTAGATCTTGTATTTTATTGTAATGCGTCAAATTTGCACTGTGTTCAGCATGTATCATTGTTGATCCTTTGAATTTGTATAAAACTTAATGAAAAGGACAAATTATTGTTATTTTATTTTTATTATTTAGTGTTCTATATATATCTTAATTTTAGAAATTCTAAACTCTTGATTTTATATATATATAAAATTGATTTTATATATATATTACAATTTTATTTGTAGTTTTGTTTTTACTACAAGGTATCTGTAATGAATGTTTGTAATTTAGAAGGGAAAAAGAATATGAGCATTAATAATTTGTTTCATTTTTGTAGTAATAGTACTGAAAGAAGAGTGCAAAAAATCATAGTAAAAGCAATTATTAAATAATTTTCCAAGCATTTTCTCCTGTCCTAAGTATTTCATTATATGACTGGATGAATAGTATGAGGGTGCACAATGCTATGCTATTTTTTAACTTATTGTTAAGAAGCAAATTAAATTTTCAGAATTAAAATAACTAATTATGAATTAAATGGCTTATATATGGAATGTGTCACGAATCAGCATTTCACTGGCAGTTTTTCAATACACAAATGAAAAATCGAAATGTCGTGCTTTTGAAGATGTTGTGGTTCAAGCTTCTTAACATAATTCTGAAGCATTTTACAAAGAAAATGCCTCCAAATAATCAAAAATAAATAATTAAATTATAAAATTAATTAATCAAGAATAAATAGAAAAAATAAAATTAAAATGATAAAAAGAAATTTACTATCTGTAGCAGAACTGGCCAACCTTTTCAAGAGCATGAACTATTTGAACAGTATTGTGATTGTGTAGGGGTATTGTGATGACTGGATATTATTATAATTATTTAATAAAAGAATAGCTTTCAGTGCATCTACTGATACAACAGGCAGCTCATAATTGATGGATTGGTGGATCTATGGCATAACTGTAGACAGGAAGCACAGAAATTAATATTGCTTGTTCCTTTTTATACTAGCCTCATAATGTGTATTTCGTGAAGTCAAAATCTTTATTAGAAAATATAAAACTGTGTGATGTAGCCGTTCCTCAATAAACACTAATGCCAGCTAACTTTAAAAGGATTTATTAACAGAGCACACAGGAACGGTTACAAACAAAAGAAATATACATAAAAATAAAACATATCAAATGGAACATCAAACATTTGAATAACATAGTAAACTATCATCATGGCGGCTGGAGGTCGACTGATGTTTTTTCATATCGCCACGAGATCGCGTTTAAATAAAATAGTTCGGTTACAGTTCATGGCATTGAATAAAATAGTTCAATTACACTTAAATAGTTCTGTTACATCTGTAATTTTTTCATTGCTTAAAAGTGAGAAATTATGTCATGAAGCTCAAGTTCTTTAAAACATTGGAATCTGTGAATTCAATTCAGATTTCTTGTTTATTTTTGAGAGATTTACACCAGACTTCTGTAAATTTTTTGCTTTTATATGATCTCTTATCTGAACAGTTATGTGAAGTATGCACAAAATATGTGAAAGGAAGCTATGCATCCACAGTTTGTGTCAGTACTTTGTATTATATAATAGCTTTTACATTTTTCAGGTGTTGATTCATCGGTAAGTTTGTGCATAAGTTCTTTTATTGCTTCTTTCTGATTAAGACAATCACGTAACATATTTTGGCATTCTGTTATACTGAATTTTTTATTACTGTGTCTTTAATGTATGTTTTCCCTGTATTTTCTAATTTTTTTAACAGTACATGTTTTATTACCACTTAAAGATTACATGTAATTTATCTATTACACTTTTACAGAAACTGACAGTGTTTGTATCTAACTATATACTGAAGCACATTTCAGTATATAGTTAGATGCAAATTATATTTCAGTATATAGTTAGATGCATAATCAGTACAAATGTGCTTTTGTACTGATTTATCATAATTATTTATTACTCTACTTCTTAGTTAAATGAAACAGATTTAATATATCTGATGACTTTTGTTTGTTAATTTGAACATATTGTAAAATTTTTAAAAACAAAAATGAATATAAAAGGCCAGTTATCAGTCAGAGAAAACGTGTTGGATTAGATTTCTGATTTTCTAACAGTCTTAATTCCATGTGTCCCTAGGTAACATTTTTTAAAGTGGATAAATTGTAATTTTTCAAGTTTGAGTATTATTTAAAAGTTTTTGCATTTTGTAACAGAAGTAAAGTCTTCTGCAAATAAATAAGAGCAATATATGATTCTGTAGGTGGATGCAACAGCTGAGAAAAAAAATTTTTAATGTAAATTCTGAACTGTTTCTGAAATTATTTTTATGTAATATTTGTCTTTCAAGCATATGGAAAAACTTTCCTTTTTTAATATGATTGGTTATTTTATCAATTTTCTTTTTTTATAGCTTACTACAGATGTATGATACAAATTCTCTACAACTTTCAGTATGTACAAGCTATTGTCCAACTTAGCTGTAACTTAACCTGTAGCCAAAGACATATGGCAAAAAGAAATGGAATGCAAAAATCTAATTCGAGAGAAATCTCTGAAAAAGAGACATTGGAGGAAAATTCAAAAAATATTTGGGAAAAAACTAATGTAAGTTCTAAAAATTTGTGTAAAAACAATCAAAATGCTATTTTTATTATATTGCACCATTTATATTTAATTGTGTAGATTAATTGGGTGGATGGCTTATCAAATAATATTGCGGCAGTGCTTGTATACAGAGTTCTCATTCACAAGGAAAGTTATGAAAGTGAAAAATGGTCTGGGAAAATGTCAATTTTTTTCCCCTGAAACATCAGATGCATTTAATATTTTTTTTAAAAGAAAGGCAGGAAAGAAGGAAAAGCCAAATAATGAAAAGCTCTTTTTTAATGTATTTTTCCCAAAATAAGACCCAATAAGAAATATAAGCCCTAGCATGATTTTTCAAGATTTTCTTAGTATAAGCCTTGCCACAAAAATATTTAGATAATCATCTTGATGGATGCCAGATTGCTGAATGAGCAGTCAGAGTACAAATAGAGTATACACTGTACACATGTAATAAACAGGTATAATTATGAAAAATTAGGAGGATCTTCACATTTCAATACATCATGTTGTAATGTATGTCAATAACATGTAACATGTGAATAACATGTTGTAATGGACATACCCATTTTATTATTCTATTATACTGAATGCTTTTTTTCAAGAATGAGAGTTGTATGTTGTTTTCATGTCTTAATTCGTGTATGTTTCGGCTGTATTTTTCTAATATTTTTAAAAGTACATATTTTATTATTGTAAAGTTTCCTTGTAATTATTTACTAGACTTTTAAGGAAACTGTCATGCTATTATTTACATTTTTATTTTCTGAAACTCTGAACACACTTGTGTGAAATAAACATTCTGACTTTTGTGCTAGCAATTTTTCACCTTTTTTGTTTTGTGGTACGTTATTCTTAATGGTTTTTATTGTAACTTTTATTTCATTAATTTTCATTTAACCCTTGATTTAAAAACAGAATGAAATGAAATTATATATTGAGCCCAAACAAGGTGAGTTCAAAAAGAAAAACTATTCCATCCAATACAAATGGAATTTTAAAGGGTCCACAGGGCAAGAATCTAACAAATTTCTGTAAAGAGAAGGGATATCTTAATGGTCTAAAAATAGTAGTTAGAATGCAAATAACCTTGGTTAACAGCTAGATGCTAAATGGTAAGACTAAGAAGCACAAATGTGAATCGAGTCAGCATTATTTCCTGAGTTGTAAAATACTATCTGTGAATGGATTGCTGATAGAAGAGCAAAGGTTTTGTTGTTTGCAAAACTGATATTTTAGAATTTTCCCTTGTATCACAGTGAGACGTATTTCCAGGCGACTTCATATTATCCCAACACTGGGTGGATGGCTTCCTTTAGCAGTATGAACTGTCTCTAAGAAGACTGACAACATCATTCAAGCTAGAAGATACTGAAATCATCAAATGGGTATCTATGTGTTGATGGCGCCAACTTTTCTAAATAGTAGCTCTCCAGTATGATTGCTGTGAATGAAACTGCAGTATTTATGGGGCAAGAATCTCAAGCAAAAATTTAAGAATAAACACTTCAAGGTAATTCATCCCCTTTTATCTTTCCTGATAACCATAGTAATGAGTGCTGCAGAAGACAATTGAGGAGTCTTCTAATTAACTAAAATCCCCTGATCCCTACTGTGCAATGATAACAGTAGATTGCAATCATTATTGAGGAAGAGCTGGTATGTCCTTCAAGACTCATTAAAATAATAGAGTATAATTATATAAATGCATGTGTTATCTGTAGTTTGGCAATTTGTCTGGATGAAAAGAAAGCCCTGCCCTTTGTCATCATAAGGACAAGTAAAAAGATTGAACACGTTTCAGTTTTTTATGTTCTTGAAACTGAGAAAGTCTGGTGCATTCAAACAGCTATAACAAGGTTTGTAGGGGTCTTAACCATCTGGCCAAAAAGGCCATATATATTTTTTGCGATGTTTGTAGAATTTATACATATTTGCATCTTAAAACATGTCCAAGAAATTAAGGCGATATATTAAAAGTACATAAAATCCAGGTATAAAATACCAGGGGCATTTTGACATTAAAATTAAGAAAATAATTATTTCGCATGATTGTTTTTAGAAATTGATATGCTGTCTTAGTGTAAACATTGGCCGATCAGAGGGTTAAAAGTCCTTAATATTAGCCAAAATTTACAAACAGTGATTAATTTTGACCATCCGATATTTTCATCCCATTTCTGTGACTGCCATTCTGAACGTGAATTTACATTTCGGTTAAATATTGAATTCAAACCATAAATCTCATAACTGAGCCATCCTAAACTGATATTGGGAAGAATGAGGGGAAAAACAGTGTCCTGGAACAAAAGTTTTGGAGTGACTGGAACTTGTGCAGGTGTATTTTAATTCATTTTTATGGATGATATCATTTATAGGGCTAATCTGGTAGATCATTTTCTGAAAGTGAGGGTATTAACTGGATGGACTGGCCATCCAGATCTCCAGAACTAAACCCACCAGAACATATATGAGATGCCATTGGCAGTGACATAGCAAAGAAGAACATCTCTCCGTAGGTGCAGCATCCAGGAGGTGCCAAATAGATGTTACAAAATTTTAGAATTAACTATTTTCCATTGCTAGCAAACAGGGGGTAGTGAAAAATCTTCATTTGTCTGTGGGTGCTGGAAACCATGGCTACAACTCTGCCCATTAGAAGGGCAATTTTATCTCACCTTTCCATTTCTAGAACACCCCAGGACCTGAAAACAATGTTGTTGCAAGAATAGGTCTGACTGCCATAAGGTTTGGTTTATTTGATTACGGCAAAGCACTCAAGGGCTATCAACCTGAGTGGAGAGATGCCTTCATGGAGGACTCTCTAAGGGAACTGCCTTGTATACACACTACACATGATATTGCCACAAGAACTCATGAATCACTTCATTTCAAGTATGCAATCACATTGTGAGAGCTGTATGACCATTAGTGGGGATTATACGTCCTATAATGCTTCCTTTTTTGTTCATTCTTGCAACCTCTGCTTTAGGTAGATGAACATAGATGAACATTATCCACGATCCTGTATGTTTACTGCTTTTTTCCCCATGTAGCAGTCTAAGCCAGTATCAAATTTCATTAAAATATGTGCTTACCTGCTAGATGTCACGACTCAGGTGAAGCATTGTTGCCATGTAATTACTGACAATTGTGTTGCCAGTTCACTATAAGCAGGCTGAACAAGCAGGAAGCATTCATTCAAGGAAAGTTCTTTGCTAGACCTGAGATTTAGGGTCATGATTCTACTAAAGAATATGAAATCTCAATTTCGGGCCAGAATTGTGGGTTTAAACTGTATGACATCATTCTGGAAGGAGATGACCCGACTGTATGTAAACAAATATAATTTTTTTTATCATGAATAAATGAATAAGTACAGATTCTTGTTCTTGAATGTATAAATAAATTATAAATGGATAACGATTAACTGGCTAGAAAGTAAGATATTCCCTGAAAACAAGACCTAACAAGTCTTTTGGAGAAAAAATTAATATAAGACTGGTCTTACTTTCAGGGGAACATACTAATCAAGAAAGAAAAACTGTGTCTTAAAGCAAATGAAGAGTTGTTTTTTTGGAGGGGGGGCGCGATAGAAATTATTTTACCGAGTTCATATCTGATACAATTTTATCAACTTGAATATTATCTCATTAATTTTTTACAGTATTTCTCTTCAGTTGTAGTGAGATGTGTTTATTTGTTTTATTAGAAATGTAATTTAATAATCTTCTATCCTGCTTTTTCTTAATGTTCTTTTATTTATTTCAAAGAGTAAGATAAAAGACTTTTATAATGCTCTTATTTATGGTATTTTGTTTTAAATGTATGAAATTATTCAACTACTTTTATTTAATTTGAAAATTAATGAATCAAATTTGTTCTAAAAATTGTTACTCATAGAAAATAAATCAGAGTTTAAGATATTAAAAATTTAATTTCTATGGGAATCCTGTTTAGAAAAATTTCCATTAAGTGAATTTTAAATGAACATTAAATTTGTCCATTTTCCATTAAAGAAGCAGTAACTATGTCCTTAAAATTGGATTAAGATAGCACTTAAATATATCAATTATTTATTTATTCAACAGGAAGATGCAGATTTCAATGACCTAACAGTAATTCTTGGTGAAGTGATAAGCCAACTTGAACATAGCTCAGTGTACTATACAAATGACGATGAGATGGATCCTGCTCAGGTATTTTTTTAAATTTAAAATTATACCTTAGCTTTTTATCTCTTGTTTTCAATTAAAATTTCTAAATTTAAGGAACACATTAGGATATACACAACAGTTATTTGACAGTGTTTATATTTGATGAAGTATAAAAATGTCTTTACTTTTAATGTTGTAAAGTGTAGTATGTACACTACTAAAATCTGTATTCATCAGTCTGTCTGTTTGTAACATCATTTCCCCCACAGTGGCAGGGAGTTGAGTTTGGAAAGAGGTACCGCTGGTGTCCAAAAATTTGTTGTAAATCATTTTGACCATTCTGATCTTTGTACAATTTTAATGTGCCAATATATTAATTAAAATCTCTTGAAAATGCTAACTTTCATACTCTGCAAATTGCTTTTTTCGCTGAATTTCGTTGCTGTTCACCGTGTGTGTTGAAGCATGTACGAGATGGGATTTTAAAATTGCCATCCATCTTTCCTAAACCTCTGTTTAATAAATAATGTTTAATGTAAATTTTTGTTATGGAATCACGTGCCTCACTTATTCCTCCATCTCTTTTTCCTGTTTTTTGACGTCCCACCAGCGGCCGAGCGGTAAAGTCGCTGAACACAGGTAGTTCAGTCTGAGGTTCGAATCCCGCGAACGGGCTGGCTGCATGGGAGTTTTTGTGGTTTTTCCCATGTGTAACGTGTATACGAGCCAGTTTCCCTTAGAAAGTCCTCCACGAAGGTATCCCTCCCCTTAGGCAAATAGCCGTCGAGGCTTTGCCATAATCACACACACACACCTGTGTTTGACAATGATGTTTTTATAGGAACTTAAAAATTGTGGATTTAAAAAAAAAAATTTTTTTTTTTTTTTTTTTAATTTTTCCTTTAAATATGAAATATCCCCACATTCATATATTTCTTTCTAAATATCTTACTTTAAATTCCAGGACATTAGAAATGTAAAACGAAGCACGCAAAGTCATAACTTAAAAATCTTGCATGCTATGGCATAATATTAAATCATTCCTCCTCCTCTGACTTGCTTCTCGATGGAATAGTCACTCTCTTCTGAATGAAAGTCATATTTATACATTGAAGAAAGCATGTGATTGCATGTGATGTCACTGCATGTTGAAAAAAAAAAAAAAAAAAAAAAAAAAAAAAAAAAAAAAACAAAAAAAAAAAACAAAAAAAAAAAAAAAAAAAAACAAAATAATTTTTTTTCCTTAATGTCAGCTTTTTAAATAAATGGCTGCTGTTGGTAACTTTTTTTGTTTCAAGTTAGGAGATAACTGACATGATATGTTATTGCCACATTAATTCTTTTATTGATATTGAGAAAAAGTTGTTATATTGTATTAATGTTAAATCATGACACCATACGTATAAACATGAAGTGTCGAAAGTTCCTGGTTTTGAACAAAACTCCTGGTTTGGAACAAAAATATTTGTTTATGAATGGGTTATTGCTTGGAAAATATGCTGAAATTTTCGAAGATTCCAATTTCTGAAATATATCCCATTATAACTTATTACATTTAACTTTTATTTCTTGTTCTAGGTGTTTTTATAGTTTTTTACATTTATATTCGCACTTTTAATAATTTACAGTTGTATTTAGATTTTTATACCTATTGCTAATTTAGAACTAAGAGGAGAATCTCCTTTTTCTCAGAGCATTAACTTTTGGGGTTTCCTGATATGTTTAATATTATTTTTCCATATTTTTTAAAAAATGCTTGTTGTTTTATATTATCTCTTTCTGTTACTGTTGCTTGAAAAATTACATTTTATGTTTTTACAATTTACTGTTTGCTATAACTATTGTTTTTATGTTAAAGATGCACAAAAGTTACATCGTTTTGTTATGTGATTATACATTTCTTTCTAATGTTACCTGTTCTTAGAATTTTTCATAATACTATCCATATTTTTTGTTCTTTTATTTTTTTTCCTAGCAGTTTTATAATGAGTAAGTTATGGTTTTATATTTTTTAATTAGCTGTTTAGTGTATAGTATTTTATTTAGTATAGGATTTGTTTGTTTTTTAAATTTCTCTTATACACATTTTGAATTCATTTATTTATTTTTACCAGTATTATTTTAATGAGTAAGTTTTTTCTTTCACATGAATGTTTACTTTTTCAGAATTCTAAAAGTTTCCTTTAAAAATTTTCTTACTTTAGATTAACAACTTTGTGTACACTGCATTAAATTAATAGTTCATTTTAATTTTACTTTTTATGTCCATTTTAATAATTTTGTTTACAAATATTTAATTCCTTTTATTATATAGTTTTTAATTACAGTTTAAATTTTTATAGGTATTTAATGTATTTTAGTTGAGTTATTATTTTAATACAGTGCTATTTTTTTTCAATTAATTAAAATGCCAAAAGGCAAAAGAAGAATTGTGAGAGAAGCATTAAGAAGACAAAGAACTGAAGCATAAAGGTTATGGTGATCTACAGAAAATGAAAAAGAAACCATTACAAGACTGAGCAGGTAAACTGACCCCCCCCCCAAAAAAAATGTGTATGCTGAAGAAGAAACTAATAAAAAAATGTATACACTAAAGAAGAAATTAAACTCTGGAGACAAGCAGAACTACAAGAAAACTTTTGTGCTCAAGGAACTGAAGCAGAAACAAGTAGGGGACTCGACAGAAGATCAAGAAAATTTGCATGGTCAAGATACTGAAACAGAAACAAGTAGGAGGCTTATCAAACATGTTCAACATCAGCAGAATATGTGTGATGAAGAGACAGAAGAAGTTGCAAGTGGATGAAGGGCACAAGATTCTCAGCTTCATAATCAAATTCAGGTGAAAAAGGGAGAATAGGATGCTACTACACGAAGAACGCAAGACGCAAACACATCACAGACAAGTTTGATCTGAAGAAATAATGTCTATACAAGAAGACATGTTTCCAATGAATGCAGCATGCACTTCTTAATGCAGGAAGATGTGGACTCAAGGTTTACACTGAGCAACACAGGGTTGTTTCAGTGGAAGCTTGCTGCGATCTCTGCCGTGACCTATTTTCCAGGAGAAAGGAATACAAGAGGAAGATATGTGCACTGCTGTCACGATGGGGAAACTGTAGAATCTGAAAGAATAAGTCCAGAAGAATGGCATAATTTAATGAATGGAAACCACCAATTTTCTGGGTTTTTTTTTTTTTTTTTTTTTTCCTAACATTATAGAGACATTAGGTTTCTTGATGCTGTATGTGTCAAGCATGAGCAATGCCCTCCCCAAGACTCGAACTTGGACTTCTCGAATATGCACGATGTGCTACCATTACACTACAAAGGCATGCTGGAAGGAGGGAGAAAGTACTTTTATATACGCCCCCTTCTAAACAGCAACTGGGGATTAAGGGACCCAAACAACCAAATCCTGGTGGTGACGACCACCTCCTCTTAGTTTGAACGCCACTGTAGAGTTTTTTTTTAAAGCAGAAGATGTAAAAATGCCCCACCAGTACTTGTACCTGGCCCTCCCAGATATGCCCTGAATGTGCTACCATTACACCACGAAAGCATGTTAGAAGGAGGGAGAAAGTACCTTATAACATAAATACTTACAACTATCTTCTTAGTTCTGCTTCCATGGGTGCCAGCTTAGAAATGCCTACAGGCTCAGTTTTAGAATTCATGGTGCCATATATCATTGAATGTGTCACCTTCATTCACCTCATCCTGGTCAAGAACACTATGCCCAGCTGTATATTTTAGATTTGGATCAAGCCTTGAGGCAGAGAATGAATTTACTTGGAATTATTTCTCTGAATGCTGAACTGCTGGCACATTTGGATGTTGTTTTAAGGATTGTGAATCCATATGCAGAAACCTACAGGATACTGAAAGGATTTTAAGAACAAACACTGTGAGAGCTAGGTGCTGAAACTGCTGCTGATATCTGTATTAACATCAAGGGCGAAAGTATTGCTACAGGTGAACACAGAGGATATTACAATGCTTCAAAAGAAAATGAAATTGTAGTTATTTTCAAGAGTGCAAATGGAATTCCTCCATCGAACAGAGACATTGTGATACATTCAGGAGGTGATGGTCTCGTTAACGTCAATAATTTAAATCTTAACTTCGAACTGATGATGTACGTAATTTTCTTTCCTCATGGTGATCAAGAATTCGAAATTGAACAGCAGTACACAGAGTCTTGGTTTTATAGTTGCAGAGTGTCTGTATGATAGTATTGGTAAAAACCCTATTTTGTATGGTTAGAAATTGTTTCAGCAGTATTTTGTGGATGCATATGTAAAAGTTGAAGGCAACAGAATTGCATACCTGAGGAGCCACCAAATAAATCTTAGAGTAGAAACTTACATGTGTCTTGCTGATCACATTTGCAGAGTCGGTGAAGCAACAGGTGTCTGCCTTGGAATTACCAGTTATACTTCTGTCAACATTTATAGGAAGCCCTCGCTGCATGCAGCAAAACTATCAAGACTTTGGCTTTGTCAAACCTACATGGCTGGAAATAATAGAAATCTTATTTTCAGATGAGCCTTTCATGATCATCTGGACCTTGTGAAGAGTATTTCACCTGAAGAAAACAACTTTGTTGCACGATTATCCGCGACTGTCACGTCTTGTATGCAACAGTTACAGATATACAGGTCACTGAATTTCAGAACAAAGGATGACCTCGTATGCACCTTTTGTTGATTTTAGCAGAAGATGATAAAATAAGAGATTCAGAGTGTTATTGAACTTCTGGATGCTACTCAACGTCTTATGCTACACAGTATTATGAGATAATTGATGATTTATGGAATCTGCAGTGAATTGAATCAAAACTGTCCTTGTGTGATTCATAGTGCATGTTCAAAAGGATTCCCAAAATCATTTCAGGTTGAAACTAAAGAAAATATAGATGGTTATCTACTTTATAGAAGAAGAGATAATGGAAATTTTATTTTTAATGTCATGGATAACAGGCGGGTGATTCCTTACAATCCATATTTATCAATATATATATATATATATAATGCTCA